AGTTTGTGCTCATCTTCCAGAGTATAGGCAAATATGAATTGATTTGTAAATCCTTATCACACCAAACATATATTAGATAATATTTAGGTAAACTGACATTTGTCTAATTAATCAAACAATAGATTAAATAAAATTACTTTCAATACTTTAATTAAACTTTTTAAAAAACTTCTCACATTTTCATTTGACAAATTCACCTAGATATATAAAATGTGAATTAAGTAATGCCGGGTATATAATGACTATCTAATAAGTTATATATTATATAATTAAAAATTTGAGAGATTAAAATAAGATGAAATTAACGTTAATATATTAAAGTTTAAGTAAATTTATCTTGAAATGAATGAGAATATATTTTGAATAATTCTAAGCCTTGACATCATCTCTCAATGTTGAGTTTAATAATTGTAATATCATACTAGAAAATGAGGACATTTTAAACACATTATAATATTGTAAATATAAATAATATGGAGAAATTATATACAATCAATTGATTAGAATTGATGGGAATTGAGTTTATAATAACTTATTGATTGGAGAAAAGGTAGCATTCAAAACAATTTATTCAATTTGTTGTACTATTTATTAGTTATAGAAATAATTGTTTAATTGCTTTAGGCTTTCATAGTACCAATCGAAGGCTAATTATTTCATAGACAACAACTCTAATTGAATCCAAGCTTATTATCTAATAATCTTTTACCCACCGATCCATGTCATGACTCACGAGTACCATATATTGGACATTTTGGTATTTATATCAACATTAAACTAATATACATGTCATTGGAAATCATAATTTGAATGCCTTATCACAGCTACCAGTTGTTCATTCCTTTTGTTTCCCAAACAACTATTAATTCTTATTCTTTGTTATAAAAATAATTTCTTTTATTCTTGACTTTTCTTTCATATTTATCATTCATTCACATCGAAATTAATTTTGATGTATTTTATATGAATTACTTTTTCCTATGTTTACGAACATTATTTAATCCCATAATTCAATCATTTATTGCATTAAAGGCTCACAAATTTGCAAAATATGGAATCGACTTATTTTCGGTCAATTCTTATTCAACAAACTTTTTGAGCGTACATTTAAATCTAAAGCATAATATTATTACATTTAGTATACATTTGGTATTTTACTTAATAAGTCGACACGAATTTGCGACGGCGTCGGGACTTTAACTCTGAACTTACGGTATATTTAGTTTCGGAGAGTTTAGATTGGATGAGAGTGTCAGTGCACGCAACCAACCAACCACCCAACCCTACCACAGCACCCAAACTCAATACTTACCGCATATATAAGCATTAACTCCACCACCTCTTCACAGATTGTAACAAATATACTTGTTTCAAGTTTCCAAGTTTTCCTAACTTTCCAAATAAGCTCATTTCTCCCAACAATCGAGAGGTTTGTTTCTACCTTTGTCACTTTTATTGTGTTATTCTGTCATTAAAGTAATCTTTCTATCAAATTTTTTTCGTTTTCATATTTTAATCGTAAAAACTTTTTAATGTACTCTTACTGTAGTTGTTAATAATTTTAAAGTATTAATTCATTGTTTTGTCATAAATATTATTATTTATTGAATTTATTTTTAAGAATTCTGAATCAAATTCAATGTTTCTATCCATGATTGCTAAGTGAATAATTAATGAATTTCCTAAATTTATCAAACAAATTTGATTGAACACTTTGATAACATTAAATTTAAACACTTTAAATTTAATATCGATAAATAATATAAAATATTTTTTAAACAATTCATGAAATTGATACAATAATAATAAATTATTTTGTTTTCAAACCCCTTTTTTATCCTTCGAATTGTTTATTAAGATTGTTGAAATTAATTTAGTTATAAATATTTATATATTATTGCTATTGATTTTTGTAATACAGTACTTTCAAGAATTATATATTTAGTAATTTAATGGTTTTATTGCAATGTTTGGTTTTTTATTTTTAAAAGTAAAACATTACATTGTTTTAATTCAAAGTGATTTCTTACGGAAGTACAAAACTACCAATTGAATAAATTATTTGAAATTATATATTATGTGTATTACAGTTAGAATGTTTGCAGTAATTTATTTTATTAACCAAACAATCATTTTGTATGGGAATAATAACCAGAGTGCCTATGAACTGAACGTATAGAGTATAATATACTGGTATTAATAAACTTATTATTAATATCGAAAACAATAACTATTTTTGAAATAACATATGAATCAATTTCATTTAAATCACTAACGCCTGTCTGGTTATTAATCAATCATATTGAGAGAAATAGTATTGAGAGATATTAACATCAATATATTATTAAAAATTTATGTTTTATAGATTAATTTTATATTATACAACATTTTGTAATATTAATTCTACATAAAATAAGTTATAAGGATTATATACTTGTATAGATTTATATTTTATGTGATAGCCCTAAAAAAATATTCAGTTTAAACTGTTTACTAATTTTTTAGATATAAACATAAAGTGAATATTAAGATGACAATTTACGGAAACATGTATTTGATATTGTGGTATTTGATATTTGATATCAACCATAATAACATAATGACAAAATCTAAATACAGTAGTTCAATATAACATTACATGCAATGTAGCTAAAATTCAGTGCCATATGCTATTCTTATTTAATTTATATTGATAATTTTTCTATTAATATTGTTAACGCTTTTAAGAGAACGTTTTAATAACATTATGAGTTTCTTATGAATTGTTTATATTTAAAAATCTTATAGTTTTATCATAAAAGAGTTTGTTTAAAATGATTGCATTAAATATGATAATTTTTATTCATAACCAACCTACAATATTGTTAGTATTAATATAATTTATAGATAAAAGAGAAATACAGTTTATTTAATTGTAATTTTTAAAACTATATAAAAATCTATTTTATATATTGAATTATATATTTTATAAATTTTATAAATATTGCAAGATTGATGGCCAATATTTGGTGGAATTCATATGAACCCAAAATATAGTTTTGAACTATAATTTCAGAGAAAACTATGATTTCATCGACATTATGTTGACTGTCATACCCGGGAGCTCTGTTGCATTGATTGTTTGCTCCCAACCTTACATTCATTGTAATGATTCACAAGTTTTATAACTTTTTGTTAATTGTTACTTCAAGATTGAATTAAAGGGATTGAGGTCTGCTGCTCACCCTTGAACTTATACGTTATATAATGAAAATAGAGCAGGGTCTTTACATAAAAATGTGATTTAATCTTTAAAATTGATAATTGTATGGAAACTGTACTCTATTGCAGAGTACTCTGTAATATGTAATCAATTAATCCATGAGTGGGAACCTAGAGCTTCAATTGCAAGTTATTCAATAGTATGATGAGCTGGAACCAAATATTAACACAATTTCAAATTTAATTGTCATTTACAATTAGTGGAAGCATCTTTCTAATAAATATATTTCTAATAATATAATTACAATTATTCTATTATTATAATTAACACTATCTTAAATATTTATTACGATATTGACGGTATTAACGATGTTATTATTGTTTTAAAGAAATCATAGGAAACTAAAAGTTTAATAAAGAAAATATTAAAAGCGATGGCTTTAATATCTATGAAGACAACCATTTGGTCCGTTATTCTGTCGGTTATGATCTACACATTGAGCGCCAATAGTATAGGAAGTGATGGCAGTGAGGGTCGCAACAAAGTCTCGCTAACTATCCAGGAACCAATTGTTAGTTTTCTAAATATACCATTTTTGCTCTTAACGTTTACTCTTAGCTTTAATTTTGTTATCTTTAATAAACTCCAATATCATATTTATACACCGTATATTTTATACAGTACTATATTGTTTTGCACTATATTAAGATTATTTTAATTAATATTTTTTTAATCCTTTGTTTTATTATAAAAAGAAAATTAGCCATTATATTCCATAATATTATTCTTTAAATATAACCAAAAAGTGAAGTGAAACTATGCACTCATGTATAGTATATTATAAGATTAATTTTGAAATAATTAAAAATATTACAATATTTATTCAGTTTTCTATTTGAAAGCTAAATGAAACTTCATTTCACATTTTGGCTGAGAGTAATAAAGGGTTCAATTGTATAATTGATTTCATATGAATTATTTATAGGAGGAAGAAGTCTTAAGTGATTACAATCCACTGTCCAATCGGGCCCTATATTTGGACAAAATCGACAAATTAGGAGCCATTATAAATCCAAAACAAAGAATTGGTTCAAATTTTGGACAGTTATCTGGCTATGAAAGTCATCAGAAGCGACAGATCCGTTACCATCAGTGCTATTTCAACCCAATCTCATGCTTCCGAAGGAGAAAATAACTGAAATTTTCACTTATATTTTGTCGCATTTTGTTTTGTAGTCCAAAATCCAAATCTATGTTCACTTCGAAACGATTGGCGCCGACACTAGTCTTTCGTTTATTTTAATTCATATAGAATTTGATTCTTATAATTACAGTATTATTGAAATTATTGTATTTAACAAAACTTAATTTTATGTCCATTTCTAATAATAAAATTTTTTATTTAATTTCAATTTTAGTTTAAGTCATATTACCATTGTCTTTTAATTATAATTGTTAATATTGTGTTTCAATTTAGTATAAATATAATGTAATTTGAACACAATTGAGATGGTCCAGTATTATCTGTTATTATAAATAGTTATTCTATAATATGAAATTAATAATTTTAAATTTAAAATATTTAAAATATGTAAAACATTTCCTCACACTTTGACAATATTTTCTAAAGAATTGATACATTATTCTCCATTCATTCTGTTTTTGATTTCTATCTTTATTAACTACAAAAACATGTTTTAAATAATATATAATAAATTTATTTAATACAATCATTGTTAATATTAATCTACACATAATGAAATAAAATATTATTTTGTTTCAATCGATCAAAGATTCATTATAATTATTAATCATAATTAATAGTCTTAAGAATATAACCAAGAATTATTTTTCACTTCTATATTTGATAACACTCAAGATTATTGAGTCATTAATACAGTATAAGATAATAAGTTATAATAAACAAACCGAAAAGCAAATAGGCCCCTTTACTAAAAACTAAACAAAATTTTTCTTATTTAAACTTTTTATGTAAATTGCTTAATATTATAGGCTATAATGAGATGAGTTGTTATAATTCTAATTAATAGCAACAAAATGAGTTTAAATCAAAGAATTTTTTGAAACCATCTTTAAATGCAAATTTTTTATCAACAAAAATGAAATGATCGTGAAACTACTGTCATTTACTATCAAAAATATGCAATAATATTGAAATAAAAAGCAAAATCATCTCATTCTTAAGAACTGTAGCTATAAAAAAGCTCTACAAATAAACTATTAGTTTAAAATATATTCTTAATCAAATATAAAATTTTTAATAAAATATTTATCCTAAAAATTATAGAAATAATGCATAAGCAAAACATAGTTTTATAATATACCGTAGTTCACTGTATACATTCATACTCTTTAAAATATTAATTATACAAACTGTAAATATATTATATAAATTTTAACAATTGTAACCTCCACTAATGGGAACTGATAGACTGATTAGACTGAATATGAGATAAATTTTGCAAGTGTTAACACCATTTTACAATTTGTAAAAAATTTTTAATTCTTTCTGATAGGTTTGCAATTAAATATATTATATAAACTTTTAAAATAAAGGTCTATTCCAATAATTTGCTTTCAATAGTTTTCAACAAACATTTCACAATTCTTACAACTGTAAGTTATTTATGTTAACGACCAATAGATGGATATTAGTCATCCAAGTTTGTTAGAATTGAATTTAAAAATACTTTTAATCACACAATTGCACCAGGATAATATTTTAGACAATCAAATATTTATTATTATTATTTTAATGTAAACATTCTTATTAATTTTGATCTGCATGATAAATTTATATGTTAAACATTTTTCAATATTTGAAATAAATTTTCAAAAATTCAAATAATTTTATGATCAAGTGGAATTTAGTATAATATACATATTATGTTGAAATCATTTCTAAATAGCATCTACCATTTAAGTATAACAAGATTAAAAACGTTTTGAATGAATTCATTATTTTTAATTTGTTTCTAATTCATAGTTATTATATATTTCAAGTAATAATATTATAATTTGAATGTAAACGATATATTAAAGTTTGAATGGACACTTTCTTAAAAATCTAGAGTTTCCAATTAGTTTTTATATTAATATCAAGATTACTTCAAGATACTTCAAGATTATTTGATTAGTAATTTGATTCTATAATAAGATAATAGGCTTAAGAACACTAATAAACTTTGGTTTAGGTAAAGATTACAAATGAATTGTTTGTTGCATCATTTCTTACGTTTCTACGATAGTAAAGGATGGATTGTAGGGTAGGGCATTCCCTGCTGTGGTTGTATTGATTGACTAATGTGTGGGATTTTGCTCAAACCATTTCAGGTTAAAAGTTAAGTTAAACTGCAAGTAAACTGCACTTTAAGTTGTGTTCCAACGCTTTACTTCTTTACCAATCGTTGATCCGAAGACCGCAAAGACTGAAATCAAATACAAGTCTATAATTTAAAACTCTCTCCAAATCGTAATCTTTGATACTTTTCCACAAATTACTTATTTGTATTGAACTCGATATTTGATTTGGAAGTCTACTTGTAATTTTTTGATATCAGTTTTCATCAAAGTTTTAATTTCTATTACTGTAGTCATTTCTAGAACATATTATTGGTCTAATTTGTAATTTTTCATCAAAAACATTTTTGGTTAAAAAATCAAATGTTATCAATAGCAATGGCATGTCTTATATTGGTTATGATGGCTGTGGTGTCTTTACCGCTTGCAACTGATGCCAAATCATTTAATATATATCCAAAAGCAAGTGTTTCTAACATTAATCAAGATTTGAATCCAAAATTATCTTCAGTAAGTATTTTAAGTTTAATAATAGAAGTTTATTATAATAAAATAGATATAAATTTCTTAAAATATATAATTATTTTATATTTAATTAATTTAAATTATCAAATAGATAGTTTTATTTAAAAGGTATTTCAAAATCTTTAAAAAATCTTTTGTTGCACAATTTGTTGCAATAAATTTAAAAATAATATTGTTTTGCATAATAATATTGTATTACAGATTATATGGCTTATGCCTTTTTAAGAAAGTTAACATTTAAAAATAATTTCAATTTTAATGATTTGAGTTTCCAAAACTAAAAACTATTTTTTGAAATATCAAATTTTGAAATTGATTGAAATTTGAACTCTAACTTAAGAAACTTCAGATCCTGTATTTATATTATTACAATGACTGACCACTGACACTGGTTACCGGTGCTATTGTATAAATGTCATTCGTTTAAATCTCTGTTTAATCTAAAATTTAATGAACAAATTGTAAATATTTTTTTAATCTTGAAAAATATTAATAATCAAATATTCTAATTATTAAAACTTTTATTATATATAGATACAAAATGACTTAAATATTATTTCTTCATATCATTTATATTAGATCTAATAAACTTAAAAATTATTTTTTAGAATTTAAAAGTTAAGAGACGCTAAATATTCTGTTAAAGATAGAAAATGTATTATAAATATTTAAGAATATGTTTAATTCATTTTAAATTTCAATATAAAACCTTATTGTATTGTGTATGTGAGTGAATAAGAAAATATTAAAATGTAACTTATATAACATTGGGCATATTGTAAATGGCTTTCATGCATGATGTAGGTTTCAAAGGGTAAATATTCATTTGAATTAAACAGAATCTATTATAACGTTAGTGTAATAATTATACAGTACAGTAACAAATATCGATAAAATAGAATAAGTTATTTTATTAGTATTTATTTATATTTATATTTAAATTTATATTACTTAATTATCATGCTTTAAAGATCATGAAACTTCTCTACTATTTTTTATATGACTTAACGTTTATTAGCGTTTAGTGAAATTATTCTCTAAATATAGAATTATTAATTATTAATATAATTTTTTTTGCAAAACTTATTCAGTTATATATTTGTCATTATTTAAAAGTATTATACACAATAGTATACTCAAGAGAAGGTAATAAAATAAAATTTTCTTAAAATAAATCATTTAATAACTGAGTTCTTTGTAATGATAATACAAATATAGCTAAGGATTGAGTAAATCTGCAATCAATGAATTGATAAACACATCAATGAGTGTCATCGAAGAGTTAAAAGTTTAAATTGAAAGTTATTTATTGCTTAAGAGATGAGCAAATAATGAAATTTTGAACCAAAATTTGGCGTTAATGTGAAAAAGATTGACAACAAAATTGTTAACAAAGAGGCGTCAATATAGTGAAAGCAATGATATTAAATGAACTGAAAGTTATTGGAAAATACAGTTATAGGTGTTTACTCTTTAAGATTAAATACTATTTTCAAATATACTCCAACTATAAGTTTACAACAAATATCCGGATTTTTTTATCCATATTATCTATAATAATGTATAGAAACTTTAAAATTATTTGTTTTCAGAATTATTTATATTTGGTTTTGAAACATAAAAAGTATAAAAATCTATTTGTTTTGCTTATATTCGTTAAGCAATACAATAAAGGTCTTTGTTCGTAGAAATGGTGTATTAAAACGCCTTTGTATTTAAAAGACTAGTTTTTATTGGATTTTGGGTTGTATTATTAAAATCTAAATTGTATGTTGATTAATACGGTATAAACCAAATCTCGACATTTCTACACATTTTGACATATGATGGACACGTTTTTAATCTAAGTTTGATTACATCCGAAAACATTAAGAATAGAAACTTTGCTTAAATTCTTTATTTATTAGTTTATTCTGACGAATATTGTAAGTATAAAGTGCATCTATTTATGCAAACCATTATTCGTATAACCTGACTTAATTATGATGTTATTACATTTATTTTTTATCGTTTATAATTGAGAAACTCATTGATTCCCAGCCAAATCTAGTTAGAACTAATGTTTTGCAAATTAGACTCAATATAAGTTTAATATTTTTATAATATTTTCAATGTATTATATTTTTATTTATGAAATCGACTACATAATTTAATCATAAGATAATTTAAGTTATAAGATATAATTTCTTATATAAAATGGTTTATGATTTTATTAATATTAAAATTATCAGAAATAAGCAATTTAAATATAAAATAATAAAATATAATGTTAACTTATTTACCAAAATTAAAAAACTATAAAATAAAGTCAAATAACTGAATTAAGTTTAACTTGCTAACCATAACATTTATTGAATCTTTTTATCTAATGAAATAGTTAGACATTAGCTCAACATTTACTTAAACAATCAAATGTGACAAATATTAGAAACTTTTCAATGAATTATATTAAATTAGGAATCTTAAAATAAAATAGCATACAGTTAAATGTATCATTTTCAGAATTATTAAAATATTAGTAATTTATTTTAAATGTTATCATTTCACATGTTAGTGATACTGTATTTTGACAACATTTCAATTTAATAAAATTAAGCTAAACAAATAAACAATTTTCAGAATTATTTAATTGCATTCATAAAACAATTAAAGACACAAAGTAATCAAATGTTATAATAGATGTCCGAGGGATACATAAAGTTTTAGTTAATTATTTATTTACAAATACCGGTTGTTTTGATATGTAATTGTTTGTTTAAATGTTTAAATTAGCTTTAATATTATTTTTTTATATAAATCTACTATGAATAAAATATATTATTTATATTGAATACTATAATATTATTAATATTATTAGAAATTATTATATTATATTATCTATTTATATTATTAATTTAATTATTAAATAAAATTAATTAAAATTGATCAAATTCTTTAATAAATAAAAACCAATTGAAATTTTATATTTAATCAAAAAATTAGATACATTACATTAATTAAATAAGAAAATATTAAAATTACATAATATTCTTTAAATAACTAATGAAATTTGTACAGTAACTTAAAATTGGTTTCAATTAACTTATAATTATATGAATGTCAACTTTAAAAATAAAACTTCTAACTGTTAGATACTAACATAAGTGATTATAACCTAATATATTGAGGAAACGATTATAGGTTAGATTGTTTTTGTTAATCATTTCAATAACTACTATATAAGAGTAATCTAAACATTTGTATTGATAAGAATTTTGAAACCAAACGCAAAGAGAATCAAATGAGACTTATATAAGTGATATTGTAATGAGTAGACGATGAGATCAAATGTCATTAATTACATTATATATTATATAATTTAATTAAAGAAAATTATTTAGAGACAAATGTTAAGAAATGAATGCTTATATATAGGAACAGATTGGGAACGAGTGGTCAGAGTCGGAGTCAGACTCTCGGCGCTCATCGCCAGTGAAGAAGTCGACGATGTTATTGAATAAACTGATGCACGCCTTGCATAAGGCTCTCGACACAGACAACAATGAAGAGGTGGACAAAGACACGCCCGACCCCGACGTCGTGCCAGTCGTTGTCGACAACTATCCAATGGATTTGCACCGAAGGGGCGAGGATAGGATGACGCGCTACTGGCGCTGCTATTTTAATGCCGTCTCTTGTTTTTAATGCCTGTCCATCGCGAGCATTCGTATTATGCTTATTATGCTTATCATTATTATTATACTGTATTATTATTATTACAAATTTTTAGTCTAATTCTTTGATTTATATTTACATATATTTTATTTATTTATAAATATTTAGTCATTTATTGTCATATATTTATCAAAGAATTTTTATTTATCATACAATAAGTTTGAATAAAAATCATTTATTTATAAACTACAAATAAAAGTACGTTTTTAATTTCAAATCACTTTCTAATCTTATTTAATTAATTTAAAATTTATGCTTTAATATAAATTATGTAATTAATAAATAAACCTATTTAAAAATGTTTTACTTCATTTTGTTAGCTTGCTCAAAGAATTTTTAATACAAATTTTCAAAATAGAATTAGTTTTACATCTTAGGAATGAATGATAAGAAAAGTACAAATATATATGAATTATAAGATACAAGAGAGCCATATGTCTAAAACTTAGTAATGCATTGGTTTTCACATTTAATATACAAATTAATTTGCAAAGGTATAGTCATTAGTTGATTGTGTTAATGCTAACAATAGTGTGTTTATAACTATAATTTGTTTACAATTTACATATTTCAATTAGAACATATTTAAATAATATCAAAAATTACTAATTTCTATTGAAATTTGTATATTAAATGTGAAAACCAATGCATTACTAAGTTTTAGACATATGGCTCTCTTGTATCTTATAATTCATATAATTAATTCATTAAACCTTAATCTTTTACTATCATAATAAACTCATGAATAAATAGTACTATTCATGATTTTCATAATAACTTACGTTCAATAATAATTATAATAACTTAGTACTGGTATTGTTATTATTCAGTAATTCTGGATACAATATTTTTCATTCTGATATATAGCATCAGGGTATTATATAATGGATGATTATTCCACCTTATAACTTAAAATTAGATTACAGTGTGAATTATTAAAAGTGCATGCATGTATATTCTACAATCTTAGCTTGATACAACAATTATAGTATAACATGTCTAAATTTTGTAGTTTTTATTCTATAAGTTAAATATTCTGTGTATTTTGAAATTTAAAAATGAAAATTTTCATTTAAAACATCTTTAAAGTAAAATGGTGTAAATAATTTACTTAATTAGCACAAATCAGTTTAATAGCAATCAAATTATCAATTATTTACGTAGAAATTGTAAGCAAAACTACCATGTTCAAATAACCAGAGTATTGAAGCCACAATAAATGAATCTTTTATTTTAATTACAACATTAACTAAAATGTAACTAATAAAAAAATAATAATTGCGATATAAAGTACTGTACTAATTAACCATTCAATATAAATACAATATATAAATATTTTTATCAAAACATAAATATTATTTTTATCAAAACATTATAATTCTTTGGAATTGTTTTGTGTGTTTTCTATATTTGAGGTCAACTTTCAATATATGAGGTAAAAATAAATTAATAGTATATTTCTACTCTGCTTTTATAATATAATACAGTATAATTGTACACTTTACAGAATAATTTTGTTTAGTACTATTATAGGCATATTATAGCACAATTGAAAAGTACTATTTGTTTAGTTCTAACTCATATTAATCTCTTCACTTACGGTATTTGATAATATATATTATAAAAATATTGTTTGGACTCAATTAATAGAAAATATTATTCGTATTCCACTTAAGGGTTGTTTAAAATAATAGCAAATATGAGTTAAGGGAGAAATAGTTCCAATTGTTTGGTAATCGATGACAATTCACAGCAGAAAACATTAATTGACTACCAATTTGTGTCATTAGTCTTGTTTTTACTATAATATAAACCATAAGAAATTCTTGACCCGAATGGCAAATATATTCAAAATATATGACACATTTGTCTAAATTTCTTTCTCAGAATATTTTTTTAATGTTTAGATTTTTAAAAAGAATTATTACAGAATATTAACTTTTTATTAAATCAGCTTTATTAAATTATAGATGTTTATTTAAAACCAATTCTAATTGACAAATTAATTTCTAATGAATTACCATTTCTAGTAATCTTACAAAAGTAAATGTTTCTCGTTTCTCTTAATATGTTATATATTTATTGTTTCAATTGATAAGATTGTGTATAACTGTAAGAGACAACTGCTATTGTTTGGCACTGCACTCATAAATACTAATAATCACTACTTTGTATAATTAGTTGATTCCAATTCTACACAAAATAATTTCCTTCTAAACAACTAAACATAATACACATAACCATTTCAATTACATATGGGTCCTAATTATCTACCAGTTGACCAACATTTAGGGAATTCTATACAATGGAGGCAATGAAAGGAATAATATTTATTATTTTTTGTAAAATATACTAGGACAAAAAAGTAAATTGAGTATATAACTCAAAATAGCTTTAAATATTAGGGAAAACAAGTCCATTCAACTGACAGAATCTCAATAATTAGCAATTCTAAGGACTGATAGATTTGATAGATGGACACTATCATAGAAAATGTGTACAGAATTCATTACATGACATTATCAAGAATATAAAATAAAACAACAAAAATTATATTGGTATAAAAATTTATTTAATTATTTCTATATCGATTACTAAATGAAAACATTTTTGTTAAATGTAACTGGGACATAATGTATTTTAATCACAATATTAATACTACTGTATGTAACATCTTGAAGAATAAGCAATGTTTAGGAATCAATTAGATTTCTATATTATGGAGCATCACCTCAAAGAACTTTTTATTAAAATACAATTGAAACACTAACATAGGCCAAAACATATCAACATTTTAAAAATAGTTTATTTAAGTAGAAAGATTTAGAATTAGAAATGATCAAGAACAGTTTTGTACATTAAATGTAGAAATTTTCTAAAGTTTATTTGCTGAGCCAACCACTCATGCAATGAAATGTCACAGACTTTATGAATAGTTGCGTATAAACTAAGTGTTCAATTGAATGTGTGTTTGAGTGGTGTTTGTATTCATAGTACACGTCATATGCGACCATTGAGTCACACATTTGTCTCATTTACTCTCACATTGATTTAGTGCTCAAGACAATTGATCCCAACAAATGGTAAGCATGAATGACTCATTAACTGATGTGGTGATCATGTGATGTCTGTGTGGTATAGCCGCTGAAGCTGGACGTGCGTCGGAAGCTGTTGTCGCGGTCGGATCGGGTGAAGTGTGTAGACCTGCACCCTCTGGAGCCATGGATGTTGTCATCGCTATATTCAGGTCACGTGCACGTGTGGAACCACGAGTCGCAGCAATTGGTGAAGTCATTCGAGGTGTGCGACGTGCCGGTGAGGGCGGCCAAGTTTGTGAGTCGCAAGAACTGGATCATCACCGGCTCGGACGACATGACCATAAGGGTCTTCAACTACAACACCCAGGAGAAGGTGCACTCGTTTGAGGCCCACTCGGACTACATCCGCTCGATTGTCGTGCACCCCATCCAGCCTTATATCCTGACATCCAGTGATGACATGTCGATCAAGTTGTGGAATTGGGACAAGAACTGGGCGCACACCCAGGTGTTCGAGGGGCACACCCACTATGTCATGCAAATCGTAATCAATCCCAAAGACAACAACACGTTTGCCAGCGCTTCGCTCGACCGGACGGTCAAAGTGTGGCAAATGGGCTCCAGTTCTCCCAATTTCACTCTCGAGG